GCACCAGAAATAAACAGACAAGAAAGACAAGCAGAGGGAGAGAGATGGAAGGGGAGGAGAAAATATACATGAAAGATCCAGATAAATATTTCCTACTGAATAAATGCAAGTTATCCTCTGAAAGGGAACAATAGGCTAGGAAGAGTTGTAGAACTTGACATATTAAGGACTAGGACTGGAGAGGAGGCCTCAAAAGAAGTGTCACAACTTATTATAAGAGCAGCGTCTGAATGTCCCACTTCTACATGAGCGTCAGATGGAATTCAGGTCTCTCAGAACCTCAGATTTCATTGTAAATAGCACAAACCCACATGTTCATGGCTGTAAAACTCTGTCTCAAAGGCCAGTGAGGTCTCAGAAACTAGAAATGGGGCTGAAGAAGACTGCCAGCAGCTAGATGATTGAAGACTTTAGGACTCTGGTATGGGAGCTTGACCATCAATCTCACTAGCAACCCCCAAACTGCAAGAGTACAAAAATGAATGCAGTGTGCAACGTGCATAATTTATCCAAATCTTAGAATCTGACTTGGGAGTTGGAGGTACTGAGTTTCAATTATGCAGGCAGAAGATGGGCCCAGCTCTTCGCATAGTCTACCTGTAGAGAAGTAATTCAGGGGTAGCAGATACACAGCTGTATCCATAAGCTCTTGTCTCTGGAAAGTGACAGTCAATCTGGACCAGGTGAAAGCAAGCTGAAGCCTTCCAGAGGTTCTGAATATCCAGAGGTTCAATATCCATCAGTTCCAGCCAACATAATCAGTAAGCAGGGATGCTGGGAGCTGTAGTTCAGCAATGTTCAGAATGCCACAGGTTTCCTACTCCTGATGCAGACAAGACCAAGCTAGCTGGATCAATGAGGTGACTTCTCAGAAGGCAGCTTCCTATGACCTTTCAGATGTTAGTGTGATGTCACATTCCTTACAAATGTACCATGCTAATATCTGCTCATTTCCAAAGGAGCTCAGCAATTAGCTACTCCTTCACTTCTGGATTCCTACAGCACATTTATTAGCACACTTTAGGCTTATATTTACAACCTGCTTGACTTCCATGGTGTACCCTGCTGGTTCCCTGTTCAAAAGCTTCTCAATCTCAAGACGTTTTAGTTTCAGCAAGTCAATGGCACCACACACTCTCCACCCAGAATCTGGGAATACACTGATTTGTATCTTTCATTGGTAGGGCTGTGAAAATCCAGATGACCACTAATCGTCTAACCTGGTAGCCTTTCTCATTCATCCTCATGTCTTCCCCACACCACCAACCTGGCTGGGGCAGAACAGACCATCTAGGAATGGCTGGCTGCTTCAATCTACAAATCCTCTGTGAAAAGAATTTCTCTCTAAAATGTCGCGTGAAGCAGTGGTGCTTTTCCATTTCACGTGTACTTTGCACATGCGATGAGGCTTTGGCTCATACTACTTCCCCACTGGGTGTATATGCAGCACTCCCCACCTGTGTGCAAGCACAGCACATAGCTGCATCTATGAGCTACTGCTGAGGTGGAAGCGCTTGGCATGTTGAATTTTTGTCAGGGCTGAAACGGTAATGGTATATGGGAAAGACCGTGGGTGACTGGGCGAAGAGACTCTGCCGAGGGGATGGCCAGATAAGAGACAACATAGCCCCCGGGTGGATAGTGGGAGGGGCAAGAGGCTCAGAAGGGACCCTCTCTAGTTTCTTGGCCTGTAAAGGTGGGCAGGGGGGAGAGAGAAGTGTACTTTCAGACTTGCAAGATTGATGTTGGCCTTGCCAGGTAAACCAGATAGGAATCACAACCAGATGAACTAATTCCACGTTAATTGTTAAGTTACACTGACAGAATCTTGAAAGTACAATTCTCCCCCCATCACTTTTACAACCTGAGAAACTAGGGAGGGTCCCTTCTGAGCCTCTTGCCCTGCCCACTAACCAGCTGTGGGCTATGCCGTCTCTTATCTGACCGTTCCCTAGGCAGCGTCTCTTCGCCTAGTTTCCTACATACCATTACAGAAACAGCTTTGGAGCCAGCCACACAAATGGTCTTCCTGCCATGGCGGGCATTATGGGTGAAAATGTGGCAATGGAGGAGCATTACCTCAGTTATGAGACAGCAACAGTTCTGCTTGCTTTAGGACAGATACCAGGAAACTATGAGGTGCTGGTGACAAAGGTCATATAACGCTTCCAGGTTTTTACTACCTTAACCAGCTCTCCCAGAGGGGAAGGCTTAAAACGTCAGCATCTCAGGGTGGAGGAACCCTGAACTATTTCTCTCAAAAACTGCATATTGCACAGGTAGGTCATGATTAGTGCACGTTTGAATAGTGTAAAATTCGATTTAGTGTGATTTATAAATTGATACCAGGTCACGTTTAATGTGAGCCAAAATTCAGTTAGCGCAAGGCTAGTGAGTGCACAGTTTGCCGTTGGGGTTTTAAAGGCTAATTGTGTGTGCAAAATGGAGGAAAGGAAAGTTCCGTTCGAGAAAAGCTCAAAAAAGGAGAGGCTCATTTTGAAGAACTACAGCAGAAGACAGGAGAGAGCAGGCACGCTTCGGATATGCGTTTATCCTCTTTTACTGTTATTCCGTATTTCATTAATAAACCTATACGTCTGTTTAAAAATCTGAATTGCCTATTTCTGTCAAGCTGAAACCAAATATCCTATTTCCACAGAAATAGCACTTCGAATAGCGCAAATTCGAGTAAGGCAACCATTTCGTGGGATTCATCAACTGCGCCAATCGAGACCTATCTGTACTTGTTTGGCTTCACTCTCTACAAAAGAAGTACTGGGGAAAGACCATGGCTCCTTCTGAAAAGACCTGCATTTTAAATCACATCCTTCCTAAGGGAACCAGAGACTACACAGGACGCTATATCCCAGCTTCATTTAAGCATTTCTTCGCACCCTGGAGTCTGATAATCTGAGAACTTCTGGGGCTTTTGTATTGATTTACTTATTTTTTAGATGTTTATCTTGCCTTTCCTGCAGGAGCTTAAGGTGTTGTATATCACATTCCCTCCTCCAATTGATTGCACAACCACAGGCAGGTTGGACTGAGAGATAGTGGCTGGCTCAGTTACTTAGTAGGCTTTTGTGGAGGCTGGATTTTAACCTGGATCTCCCCTAGTCCTAGTCTAACACCTTAACTTCAATACTGCCATATTTGATTATTAGAAGAACTAAAAGCAGAAAGAACCAAGCATTTCCTGGCAACGTGAAGTAAGCGGTACAACATTTAGAAGCTCAAGTCATCCTGGAGGATACCAGAATCTGCCTTCCAATAAAAGAGAATCTCTGTAGCTCAGGGTTGAATTGGGGCTCTCTGAGCTTGGTGGTTTGCTGAGTCCTTGGGGCTCTCTGAGCTTGGTGGTTTGCTTGCAGATGTTTCACTACCCAACTAGGTAACAATCACAAAAGATGTTACCTAGTCGAGTAATGAAACGTCTGCAAGCAAACCACCAAGCTCAGAGAGCCCCAAGGACTCCACAGAATCTGCCTGTCACGGCCAGGCGAACTATCTCAGGTTGGAGATTTAGAAAAAAAGGGTTTTAATCTTGGATGAACTATTAGTCTACGGTTGCTATCCTTACCCATGGTTCAACTTAACCAAGGTGACCCAATTAGCCCAATTTCCCAGATTTGCATCACACTGAATCACAAAGGAACCACACAAGCTAGGTTTGCCAAATGCGCTAGGCTATCATGCGGTTGACTAGGTGTGTCTGCAAACGTGGCCCACAGAAAGCATCTGCTTACATCTGCATCCTGTTTTCTGTGCCAGCACAGAACTGAGCATCTTTAAGGTCTGTACTTCAAAGAGACAGGTGTTAAATGTAGCCCCTATGACTGTGAATAAGGGTTTGAAAAATTAGGGTGCTGGTTATATTTTCCACAGTGAGAAAGTAGTGATTCCCAAGCATGCAGCCAACTGCAACGATGCCCCAACGACAACCCATGCACACTGATATCGTTGTTTCTCAACCTCAGCAACATTTAAGAGGTGTGGACTTAAGAGCTTAAGCTGGCTGGGGAATTCTGGGAGTTGAAGTCCACACCTCTTAAAAGTTGCTGAGGTTGAGAAACACTGGTGTAAATGATCCCTAAGTCACAGCATTTGCATGATGATGTCATCATGGACATTTTGATATTTGTCCCCGTGACTGCCCATGGACATCCACCTTCACAACCTTTGCTAAAGAGGCTCATGCCTTCTCACACCAACCTATGACTTTTTTAAAAAAACAATCTTTTTTATATATACACAACAATGTCTCTTTCATCCACAAGAAAGCAGAAGGTGTATTTATAAACAAGTTCCTATTCTGAGCTCCTACTCTTTTCTATAGCCAGCTATTTCTGCCATGTTTCAAAAGAGTCTCATTCAAAACCCTGCTACAGAAACCTGGAAGAATTCTCAGTCTTTTTGCTTAAATTAGTTGGGAAAAAGAGGTAATTGGAACAGTTAATCAGGCACAAACACAGCAGGGACGCGGTTTGTATATACTTTTTGCCTTCAAAGGAAATAATATAACCAGATCATTTCTGGGGGGTGTGTGTGAATGTGTCCCAATGGGCAGCTGGGGACTATTGAAGTAAGGGGTTGTGCTTCAGTGCTCCTCTACAATTCCATGTCTCTCCCCACTTTAGCACAGAAGATTAAGATTAATTGACTGTACCACTGAATGGTCTGCAAAACTAGCATAATGTTAATATAGTTGGTCAAGGGAGTTTTGGTGGGTGTGGAATACATTAGAGAAGGCAACATCTGGTGACTGGGGAACACCCGGATATCTGGCAGGGGATGGATCACAATGCTACAAAGTGGGCAAGGCTGTTGTCACGCATGTGGCTTGGGCCACGTGAACAACAATAATCCTGTGCTCAGAGCAAGCCCCATAGGTTGAGTTTATGGCAGCCTGGAGGATATAAAACCCTCTTTAGATCCTCATCAGCCTCAGGGCTGTCCTAGTGTCCCTCTCTCCTCCCCCCGCTGAGGCCCCTATCACTCACGTTATCAGCCGTGACCTGGAGCCCTTTGGGGAGGCCAAACTTGTCTTCAGATCATCCCCCACAGCCTCTTGTGCCTGTGACTCCAAGATCTCATTGAGACTGTTCTCTGCTGAAGGACAAGAATCAGCTCCTACAGTGGACAAGGCCTTGGTGGTCGGCTTGAAAGGATCTGCCATATCAAGATGATATGAACGTTTTGTGAGTGTGGGAGAATCCTGTAAAGAAGAGCTGCCCGCAAAGGGGTTAAAGGCAGGATCATCCCACTGGCTGGTGTCCCCCGGGTGAGTAGCCGTGGTAAGAGGTGCCACTGATGCATCGGGAGCTAGCGTTTTCTCTTTATCCTCAGTACCTGCAACGGGCCGGGTGGTGGGTCCTCTTTGTCTCTTAGGAGAGAACTTACTGCCAGGCCTCTTTCCCATTTTTCTCGATGGAGGTTTCTTGGGCTCAACAATTTCCGCTTCTTCGGCAAAATCAAACTCTAGTTTCATGGCCCGGGTCTTGGAATCTCCAGCTCCTGCAGAGCTGGGATGCTTGGGGTCACTCTTTGGAGGATCAGTGCCTGGCTGAGATGCAGGGGGTGTGTTTGGACATTTGGAGCCTCCCATCATAAATGGGTTCACAGTTTCATCATATTCCTCTGGATCAAAGCGGTAGGTAGCTTTGGGAACAGGGGGGCTTTCTGTGGTCATTTCAGTCTCAGGGTTCTCTCCTCCCATTTTCTTCTGAAGGGCAACTGGTTTTGCCCTTGGGAGCTTGCTCTTGTTACCTGCAATGTTCTCACCACTTGACTTGACTTCTGAAAATTCCTGAACGGGGATCTCTTGACTTTCCTTCAAAATCTCCCTTTGTTCCTCGTGGGACAACGTGCCTGAAGTTCGGTCTGGACTGGGCCTTGCTGAAGCAGCACTCTCCTCTGTAGATGATGTAGCCCCGAATGCAGAAGAAGTCATGGATGAACCCTGGCCAATTCCAAGGTGGGCTTTTGACATAAATGGGTCACTGGCTTGCAAGATTGCGGAGTCTGCCTGTAATTCATCCTCTACTGAAGCTGATTTCTCCTCCAAAACTTTGGAGACAAATTGCACTTTATCTTCTAGAGATGCTGCAAGAAGGAGAGACAAACAGAGGGAAGAAGGTGAACATAGAATGTGTTTCCCATATAAAAAAAATCAGCCAATCAACAGTTTTCAAACAAGACATATCTTTAAACTCTGGCCTCTGACACAGAATCCTCTTTCATTCAACTTCACACCGGAGATGCAGCAATCTGTATTTGGTTTCTAACACTTTAAGCTGCAGGGGAGATTCATGTGACTGGGACTTCTCTGTATAGAAGATTATAAAAATCCATCTCCTTAGAAAACCAGCAAGTCAAAGAGATTCCAGCCCACTCTGCTTCTTGACTCTGCAGATTTTCTATGTCCAGCAAGAGATGATGATTATTATGAAGAATTATTCTTTTATCAAAGGAGCATTCAATCATGGGAGCCAAAGTAGTACAACGTGGATAGAAATGGGCCATATCAAAGAGTGTGTTTTTTCAACCTATAATAATCTCCTTACACCCACTCCCTTTCTATACTCTTTTTCTCATCCTGAAGATTGCACTTGGCTCCTGAACAGCATGCTGGGAACTTATTTCTTCTGTGGAATCTAGTAACATCATCTATCCAGCTGCGAACACCCAGATAAGCAGGGATTAACACCAAACAACCAACCAAGCAGAAAACACTACCCTAATCAAGGAACTACCAAGGAGAAACCCACACCCAACCAACACTGGCAGGGCAAGCCACTGTAAATAAACAGAGAGCAAACCCCACGTTCATTAGCACTGACGATGTTACCTAGTTGGGTAATGAAACATTTGCAAGAAAACAACCAAGCTCAGAGAGCACCAAAGACTCCGCAGTTCAACCCTGAGCGACATATATTCTCTTCTATGAGAACTTATTTCTTCCTCTCCTTGTTAATCGCTGGCTGAGATCTCACAGATGCTGAAAAGCTAAGCCGCCCTTCCCTCCAATTGACTGAGAGGGTGGAAACAGAATTTAGAGCAAAATCTAGAATGATCGGTGAGATAGAACAATAGTCCAGTAGCCATCTGCCAAGCTCTTGCGGTGGCTCACAGCCAAGAAAGCGACATTCCCAAAGATTCAGAGTAAGAAAGTTTATTGCAATGAAATAAGGGGCTTAGATTACAGAGTCTTAGAAACATGCATACTGTATGGGTACTATGACCCTCATTCATCAGTATGTAAGCTGGGGTTTCCCTACTGACTTTCATCTTCTTTCTAACTGACCCTTGGTTTATTGGGGAGGATGCAAATCACTTATTTGTTACTACAAACTTCTCTGTTCTTGTTCTGCAATATTTTGGAAACATCATTTTCAGAGTCAGAAAACTCCATAGATTAAAAATTAGGGCTGACACATGCTTCAGATTCAAAGGGGAAAAGGTCGTTCTAGACAGGTGGACAAATTCACACAGCGCCTTTGATGGCTCCTTAAACCAAGCAAATCTTCTGGGATTATGTGCCTACCCTTTGTAGCTGCAGTGCAATCTCTGCAACTATATATGTTTTAAGAAGTTTCCCACACTTTTTTCCATTTGAATCCAAAAATGCTGCCTTGTCCCATCAAACGCACAGTGTTCAATCAAAGTTTCATGAACATTTTACATCCTGTTTTTACCGACTCTATGCTTTCCCCCTCGTGTGAGGCAGTGACTTCCCTCCCATGACACACACACACAAACACACACAGACTGAGAGTTTCTCAACTCACATATCATCTGCTGGAGTCTCGTGAAAACCAGTATGGTGAAGAAACTGGACTACAGTTAAGGAGTCTCAGACATAAACTTAATTCTTACATGCTTCTCTAACTGTCAATCAACTCTGAGCAATTTATAATCTTATAGTATGCAAACAAAATTAAAACAGCAAAAGTAGTCAACAATAAATGATATTCATAATAAAATATTCCTATGCCAAGGAATCATAACCCCAGATAATTATATATTCTGATGCAAGAAAAATCCCTCTCAAATTCTCTCCTCCTCAAAGGCCCATTAAGATAACCAGGTTTTAATTGCTTTCCTTAATCCCCATAATGTTGAAGCAAGTCAAAGCTTGAATCCTACTTATTTCAATTATCTCTGCTAGCAGGAAGTTAAGAAATAGGTGCTTAAGCCCACAAATTCAACTTTTACAATGAACAATTATGAAATGCTCAGGACTGTGTCAAGGAAAACCAGTTAATTTTTCCACTTCAGAAATAAATAAATAAATAAATAAACAAACAAATAAACAAACAAACAAACTGACCGACCGTCCGTCCGTCCGTTAGTACAATGCTTTTTCCCTGAACTTCACATGTATTTGCTATAGTATTTACTTAATCCCAATTTCAACTTAATTTTTTTACATTTAATTTTAATTTGCTACCAGGGAAAGGGAGACAGCTTGGTCTCTAAGATAC